GGGGTAAACCTTATTTGTTTTTAATAAATAAACAAAGCAAACATGCAATCAATTATTTATAACACTTTAAAATCTAATTAAAAAATTGACAACAAAAGGGTGTTCGAACAATCCTTCTTTGGAAGGGTGTTTATTCTTAACAAGTGCATAACCATTGATTAAAAAAAAATTATTCTCAACTCCATAGTTTTTTTTTTTCACAACAACGTAATTTTGAATCAACCAAAAATTAATATAAATAGATAATAAATTATTGATGTTATTTAGACTATTTTTTCTCTTGAATGTTAATCTATGATTAGCAATGATATTTATTTTAAATATATAAAAAAAATGGTGTTATATCAATGCGTGATTGATGCTATTATCATTAAATTATTGAAAATTATGTATTTTAGATTGATTAATTATTAATTATCAACCTCTATCATGGTCTAAAAAATTGAGAATTAATCATTATCTTCCTGTAGTATCATGAAGAATCGTCATTTTTCATAACAATGATGGTTTGTTGTAATTTTCTTTTTAAAGAAAAAGTCAAAATCATGAAAAACAATCATTATTTTTCTGTAAGGTTGTAAGGAAAACAAAAATATCAACTTTAATTATTTAGGAAAAAAGTGATATTGGAAGTCGGTAACTTGACAATAAAAAGAAAAAAGAAAATTTTGATTTAGCTTTTTCATTGTCAAGTTGAAGTGTGTGTGTATATATATATATACGCACACGTAATTGGGAGGTTGGGCTTTACTTGGAACATCAGCGACGCTAACGGTACTAATCAGGACAGAATGTCAACAAATTCATCACCATCAATCAATTAACACAATCTTGTTGAAGTTGATCCCTTTTGTTAAAAGAATAGGAGGGAAAAAAAAAACATGTCTCAATTTTGGTTAAAGAGTTTGTATTGTTTAGGAATAAAACATGGGCATGGCTGATGGCCCCATGTGGATGTGGGAAGATTACCTTTCAGATGCTATTTAAGAGCAATTGACAAGCATATATATAATAGAAAATGATGTCTTTACAGTCACTATATTGTTGGTCAAGCTTAAAAATCCATGATCATGATGTTTTGTGTTATTAATTGTCTTGAAATAAGGCTTTGGATAGGCTAAAGTAGGATTATATCATGATGTCTCTCCTCTCTGTACTTGTGGAATTTACTTTCTATTTTATTTCTAGATTAGTTTGATGGCCCGCAGCAATAAAAAACTTTTAAGTAAAATTATGCTAAAGTTCAAATATATTAAAAAGTAAGTTTGATAAATATTAATCTATGCAAATAAAGTATTATTTTAGTATTTTATTAAAAATACTAGATTAAAATGTATATATTATTGTCACAACACTTTAATTTTATTTGAAAAGTACGGGGGTAGCATGTGGGTTTATTTTTATTCTGAATACTATTTTAATCATCTGATTAGAAGAAAAATCAAATTTATTAATTTGTTTTTAAAAAAACATAGCATGGTCCAGGATAGCAAACTCATGCACGGTGGGACTTCGTAGGCTAGCCCCCCACCCCTAGCTTTCTAGTAATTAAAATAGAACTAAGCAAATGATGCGTCGTTCTTCTGAGGTTGCAAGGTTTTTTTTTTTTTTTTTTTTGCCCCAGCTATGTCGGAGCCTGTCCCCACCAGCAACTAACCCCTGCATATGGATGCCAATGGTAATGATTTTTTTATTGATTCCCAAAATAAGTTAGCGAAAAAATAATAAAATTTCGTTAGCAAATCCATCAAAATACAAAAAACTAATATTATAATTTATAAAAACAAGGATAAAAAAAAAGTATAATATATACAAATAATGATAAGTATTGGAGGAAAAATAGACAATACTAACAAGATACAAGTAGAGTGATAAATAGTATTCGATTTAAATAAAAAAATCAAACTGAACCAAAATATTAGTTTTGAAATCAAAATTAAAAAAAAAAAATTGAATCAAAATTTTTTTAGGTTTTGAAATTTTTGGTTCGGCTTAACCAAAAACCAAATTATTTTTTGTCTAATTTTTTTAAATAATGTAAATTATCCCAAAAATCAATAATTTAACATAATTTTTGTGTGTGTGATGGATCGATGGTGTTTTAGGTGACATGAGTAAATTTTCAATTTTCATTTGCTTGATATATGAATGTTTCAAACTTGAATATATAAATTTATTTGCATGATATATGAGTAAGCTTTCAATTTTTATTTGCTTTATATATGAATTTTTCAAACTTGAATATTTTGATAGCTTATTTGATTTAATGAGTTTTTTTTTTTCCTTTTTAATAGAGAATGACAAGACTTGAAAGTTAACAGATCATTGGCTTCTATGACTATTATGGTTGGAATATCTTAATAATTAATATCATGTCCTTTTGATTTGAACAAATCAACTATGTTATTTTTATTTGCTACATAGATTTTTTTTAATTATAAATCATGAAGTAATGGTTATTTAAATAAATATTTATGATCTTTTATATTGACTAATTTATACTATTTGGGTTAGAAGAAGGACTCCATAGCCCGTAAGATAATATTTTTGGGTCTATTTACATTATTTAAAAAAATTAAAATAATTTGAAAGAATAATAATTTGATTTTCACCAAAAAAATCGATCTTGACACCAAATAGAAATTCGATTTGGGTTAGCCTTTTTTTTTTGGTTGACCGAAAACCTAACCGAAATGTTAAAAACCAAACTCGAAAAATTGAATATTCATTTCTAGTAGGTAGGTGGGTGGTCAAAATTCAAACAAATAAAATTTTAGGTAATATCTAGTGTGTGAGTGAGAGAGATTTAAATAGTGTGTGTGTGTGTGTGAGTGAGAGAGAGAGAGAGAGAGAAGGAGAGAGAGTAAGGATTTTAATGAAGATAAAAAGTTAGAATCACAATTATCGTGAGGTTGATATATATAGTAAAATAAAATGATTATTGATCGCTAAATTTATGTCACTACATCATGTTGGACAAACAGATTTGAGTTAAAGAAACGAGGTTATTTTGGATTAAACTTCTTCATTGAAAAAAATAACAATTAAATCTTTCTTTACCATATTCCGTTTCGATCCTTCCAAGCTAATTTTTCCATTCCATCATTAAACCAATATATGTACATTGCCCTACAAGAATATTTATGTCCATCCTTGAGCGATCCAAAACCTTATGCTAGCTAAGACCCATCTTCAATCTAATCTATTTGTCTTGTTATTTGGATCTATAGCCATATATATATATATATATATATATAATATTTAATTAATTTTTCAGAAAAATTGAGCATATACATAAGGATACACTAGAGGTAAAACACCTTTAGTAGAAAAAAAGGGTTCTCATCTCATTTTTTTTAAAAAAAATCTTTAATTTTCATTAATAAAAACTTGTGTAAAAGTAATAAAATCTAATTTATTCTTTTTATTGATGATTTTGAAATTAATTTTTTTAATTAAGTAAAACATTCCTAACCTCTATTCTTTCTTTAAGTATAGGGATATCATCTACATTATTTAAAAATCATATTAGATAATAACTATGCTATTTAGTTAGCTTTAAATTTTCAATTTATTTATTTATATTAAAAAATAAATTTGATTTTCTAAAATCAAGGGAAAAGTTGCAAAATTCAATTACGTTCATTTTAGTCCTCATATTCAATTTAACATCTTGTGTATGTATATCATTGAATTTTAATAAAATTAAAATATTATATTTTTGGGAAAATGTTTCATTTATAAAGAAAAAATTTGTAGCCATAGTATTTTGAGTAAAAACTTCTTCATAAAATAAATTTTTGTATTATATTAGCCTTGTCAATATTTGTTATCATAAATATTTTGAAAATAATAAATGACTATAAGAATATGCATCATACAAAATGCATCGGAAAAATATTGTAAGATTGTATAAAAATTAAAATTAATTTTGAAGAATTAATAAAAATTGAAATATTAGAAATATTAAAAAGAGAGAGAGAGAGAGAGAGAGAGATATTAGGTTGCATCGAGCCTAAGTGGCGAGAAGCTTGGTCCATGCATACGCCTCACTCAAGCACTTCAAAAAAAAAAAAAAAAGGACATGGGATAACATGGAGCTAATCACAAATTCGAGTGTACTAACTTATTAATTTTTCCTAATCAAGTGTGTATTCTTTAATCTTTATTAATTGAGTGACTAAATTGCAAAAGTTTTTTAATCAAGTGTCTTCTGTTACCTTTTAGCCATATTTTTTGTTTTTTTACCTATATGGATTTTACATTTACACGTCATAATGATGTGACAACCACACATGAGAGACGTGGCTACCAAGTGTAAAACACATGGAAAATGAAAAAAAAAATCAGATCATTGGGGGAGGGAATCATTTTACCCAAAAACAAAAATCAACTCTCTCCCTCTCTCTCTCTCATATATTCTTACTTACTAACTTGTCAAATTAGGGTTAGATCATAGAGGAAAAACACAAATTAGGAAGAAAAGGGAGTCTAATAACTTGACCAAAAATCATTATAATGGTACATTAAGAGGATTGATTGGATTTATCGACTTGGCCCAAGACTTGCACCGAAGGAAGTTAGGTAAGATTCAAAAGTATTTTGTTTAAGAATCTTTTTATATTTTTGATTTATCAACTTTGAGGGTGTTGTAAGATATCATCATTGTGTGGGTTCGGTGTTGTTGCTTGGGTGTTTATGTGGGATGACATGTGGGTTATTATGTTTACAAAATAGGTGTTTTCGCTTGTATTATATGTGTGTGTTATCATTGTACGTGTTTGCTATTCGTGTTTTAGTAGGCAAACATAAGATTTTTACTTTTTTTTTGTTTGTGTCTATTATCCTTAAAAGTGGTTTTAAATTTTTACTGCATATGTTATAGGATGTCTAAGGGTAAAGTTGAATTTTTTTATGGGAATTCTTCAATACATTTTCCAACAATGATTTATACTCGGTGGTAGAAAAGTATTGAAAGACATCGACGACATCAATAACTTATGCTATCAAAATGTAAAAATAGGCTAGCCTCGAAGTTGGGTAGAAAAATGTACATTGGTTTAGGGTCCCTAGGTTGGCTTCACCAAGAAGTTTGAAATTAGTAAATGCAAATATAGATTTAGTTGAAATGAGTGGGATAATTGGCCAATATCAGTTTCTATAAGTGTTTGATGAACATTATGGTTCTAGTCATATTAGGCTTAAAAATGTTCTTGGTTGGAGGAATTTAATGAACTAGTATTAGGAGAGACCGAGTTCTTTAAAGTTGAAGAAGAAAAAAAGGATGGTGTTTCTAGTGTAGATGTTCATGGAGAAGAAGATGATGACGACTCGCATTAGGGATTTAAATGTATATGAAAATGTAAAGACAATAGAAATAAGCTTTATAGTGACATAAGTCATAATGTGGATGAGGATAGGGTTGATAGTATGGATGATGATTTTAATAAGGATAGAGTTGATAATGTAGGTGATGACTTAAATGATGATAAGGTTATTGATATGTATGAGGTTAGGATGGATAATGATGTTCTTAATAAGGATACGTTAGACAACGTTGTTAGTTTGGATCACATTAGGGTGGATGGAGATAGGGTTGACATGGTTGAAAGTGTTGATAGTATGGATGAGATTTAGGTGAAAAATGTTTCGGTTAAACTAAATAAGAATAGTCATGGTATTGATGGATATGCTTTTCATGATAGTTAAGATGAAAGAAAGGTATTATTGGATGTTAGGTTTTACAATGATGATGACGATGAAGAGTTACAACACTTTATACAACAATTAAAAGCATTGAGAACTAAAAAGTTCGAGGTGTGATAGTTAAACTAAAGGGTCGAAACGGGAGGTGGATTGCTATTAATGGAATTCATATTAAAGTTTAAAATATTGCATTAAGTCTAACTTACATAGCAGTTATACTAACGAGTGAAGAAGAATGAGAAAGTGCACGAGAGGAGAATGTGCAAATTTAAGAGATTTGACTTAAATAAGCCTATTCTAGAATTTGAACTCGATATGGTATATAGGGATCCTAAGCGAGTTGAAGGATGCCATTAATAAATATGTAGTCCATAAAAGATATGATATGAAATCGAGCCAAATGGAAAAAAGAAGGTTATCCATCATATAAGCTTCATATGACAATTTCACTAAAGTTAAAAATTTTATGCCAAAAAACAAATACAACCCAATGTTTAGGAACACAAGGATGACCAATTCTTGTCTTGCTAAAAACTATTTTTACAAAATGAGAGCATAATAGGGATGAAGCTTGAAGATCTAAAAGGATTTTTTTATTGAGGATTTTATTTTTAAAGTGATCCTAACAAATGTTAAAAGGGAAGACGATAAAGTGTTGGATATACTAAAAGGTGACTACAAAAAAAATAATATACATTACTTCGTGATTATTTTTAAGAATTGACAATGGAAATAACGGGATCGCAACACTTGTGATTGATATAACTCCACCTTTGTATCCTTACATGCTGCCAAAATTTGATAGATTTTGTGTTGTTTTTTGCTATTATCAAAGAGGATTTCTAGCTAGATGCATAAAATTTATAAGGATAAATGATTTTTTTTTTTGAAAGGTTTAATCAAGGGACATATCTTAGTTATTATTGGTAGAGATAGAAACAACCAAATATTTCTAATGGCATGGGTCTGTTGGTAATAGAGAGTTAAGGGATACATGAGATTGGTTCATAAAGTTATTGATAAAGGATACGGAGATAGAAAACAATAGAACAGGTTGGATCTATATGAAAGATCAACACAAGGTAAAAAAATTTTGATTCATTTTCATATATATGTTTTTATACTTTAAATATTTTCTTACAAATTTTGTATTATGGTTTGTTTTCAAAGGATCGGTTGGAGTCGTTGATGATTTGTTAGGAAATTATGAGAGAAGATCATGAGCAAGACACCTATATGCAAGCTGGAGGAAGAAACATGTTGGTGACAAATTACATGATTTATTTTAGGCATATGACAAGTCAACTAATATGCTTGAATTTGAGAAATAGTTAGACCGGTTATTGATCGAAGATGTTGATGCTTATAGAGATATCTTGAAGTGCCATCCAAAATATCGGTACAAGACATATTTTTCAACATAAATTGTTTGAGATGTTATTGACAACAATCGACGGAGGCTTTCAATGAAAGTATTATTGAAGTAAAGCGTAAATCAATCCTAATAATGCTTGAGCAAATTAGGATGCAAGTTATGAGGAGATTACACACTAATAAAGATATGACTACCAAATGGATTGAATATATTGCCCCAAGGATTAGAAAAAAATTACATGAAAATCTAAAAAGTGTGCATACTTGGTTTATGCATTGGAATAGAGCTCATGGTTATGAGATTAGAAAGAATGGGCTTGATACAAAAGAAAGTGTATATGGTGGATCCGAATTAGAGGGCATGTTCTTGTAAGGCATGATAACTTTTTGGAATACCATGTTACCATGCAATTTTGGCAATTATTGACGATGATAAAGGAAAGCTTGAGGACTATATCCATTACATGTTGAAAAAAAGTATTTAAAGACATATCAATTTATGATGTAGACAGATCAATGATGTCCAATACTGGCCTAAGATAGATAAACGTTCTACTCAACCATTACTATTCAAGAGGATTTCAAGTAGGCCATGAAATAATAGATATAAAGTAGTTGAAGAATAACCCAAGTAGGGTAACAAAACGTTTAAGCGTGGAAGAAAAATGACTTATTATTTACGTTATGAACAAGGTCACAATAAAGTGACATGTTCTAAAAGACAACCCTCAATTTAAACCTTTCGGACCACAACCAAGAAGATTTGTAAGACATTCTTATCCTTAACTATATTCTATTTTATTTTTTACTTTTATGATTCATAATGTGTAATATTTATGTTTTTGATTCGGATGATAAGGAGACAAAAAGAATTAACTAGTTCAACTGCATCTTCTACTCTACCAAATGCATCGAGTACATCATTCATTTTCTACTCCACCAAGTGCACTAGTACAACCACCATTTACTACTCTTAGTCCTCCATAAGCAGTAGTATCTTAACCAACTACTATTCCACCAAGTCATTCAACCGGTTCTTGGTTTCCAACACCAAGAGAAGTTATGATTGAAACCAATTCTAGGCTATCAAGTACTCCTAAAAGGAAATAACCACCAAAAGGATTTGATTGTTATATTGATGAGGGTAATTTTAGACTTTCGGTATGGAATGTAAGTAAACAAAAATCATAATTTATGCATTTTAGTTGTTTTGTTAATTGGGTGATATATAAGCTAGACCGATAATAATATAAATGTGATGTTTATCTTCATATGGATTTTGTCAATTTGGTGAGACTGGTGAAAAACTATTGTGTATACCAAAAACAAGTACATGCAGAAGAAGAGGAAGAAGTGCAAAAAATATTACAAATTTTGTGACTTCTACTACTCCACCAACTGTAACTTTGACATTAACACATCACTCGTCCGGAAGAAGGAGAGGGAGAAGACAAAAAATCTTGAAATTTGAACTCAAGAATCGGATATCGAAAACTAATATGTAGGATTGTTAATATGTTGTGAATGTTAGTTGATGTATATATTTATAAATGTTAATTGATGTGCCTTGGCACCAAATTGAATTTTTAGTTAGATATTTTGGAATTGAAAGCGGTTAGGAGTTATTTTTTGTAAATATACCAATTTATTAACACTATTTTAGATTTCATTAATCTTTAATCCATTGATTGAAAAAATAAAAAGGTTAGGTTGGATTCTAAATATACTAATATGTCCTTGAAAGATCTCTTGTTAATGATCTCTCTTTTATCATCAAAAACTCAAATTCCTCCATGCATCAAGGAAACACAACCTAATAGAAAGTTGTTGATATTTTCTCAAGGTTTACAATTCAAAAACAAGGCTAAAAACTAATAAACTACACTCTTTTTTGAATTTTTCTCTAGCAAAATAAATAATTCCATGCACTAATAGCTAGCAACACCACCAATTAGCAACGAAAATAATTTATTTTGACTTTACTTCTTTTATCTAGTAAAACAAGACAAGTCACCAACAATCATCAAACTTGACGACTTCTTAACATTGCACCACATACACACACCATACTCATAATATCGACTACTTTGGATAAAAACAACGAGCATCTTCATAACTTCTTTAACAAATTCCATACACTAAAAATCCATAAGATTAGCAACAACAAATACAATAACACCATTAACTTCAAAGTCTTCTACTTTCTATGAATCTCCACTTCATTTCTTCGAATATTTCTTAATAACCAAAGTATTATTTGATTTACTCGATCACATATTGGTGGATCTATCCATTCAAAAAATTCACAACCTCTACCTCCATATTTTCTAGATTTATTGACAAACCCATAATACATCAATTGATGAGTGAATGTTAGAAAAAAACATCAATAACAACCAAATAAACTCAAGACATACCATACGAATTGAGCATGTTAGGAATCTTTTGCTCGGATTGTTATCTATCCATGAAGTCCTCATTACGGCTAGATGATGACAATGACAATTCATCTTAATTAAATCTTTTTCAAAAATCCATATTCGTTGTTGAAGAACAAAGGAAGAAACAAATCTATGTCTTCATCTCTCTCTATCTCTCTCACAAAACTCTATCTCTCACTTTTCATCTCTATATCCTTATATCTCTATCTCATCTTCTCTTTATCTCTTCCTCTTGATCTCTCGTATCTCTATCTCACCTTATCTTTATTTCTCTTTCACTATATGTATCTCCGTTGATGAAGAACAAAGGAAGATAGTATATGTCTTCTTTTTCTTCCTTATACACATGTTTTTAGGCATGAATTTCTCCCCTAATGATCTCTTTTTTTTTTTTTTCATTTTCACGTGTTTTACACGTGGTAGCCTCATCTCTCATGCGTGGCTGCTATATCATTATGATGTGTAAATGTAATGTCCACGTAGGCAAAAAAGGAAAATATGGATGAACGAGTAACTAAAGACACTTGATTAGAAAACTTTTGCAAATTAGACAACTCAATTAACAAAGATTAAAGAATACACGCTTGATTAAAAAAAATTAATAAGTTGATATGCTGAATTTGTGATTAATTCGACAACATGTTGTTTACTCGTAATAACTCTTACAATCATTGATCTTTGAGAAATCAAGAGCTACTAGTTTCGACTTCCAAAACTTTATCTCGTGTCCATCCTTTAGTGATCCAAAATTTTATAATAACCGAGATTTATTTTCAATCCAGTCTATTTATTATGTTATTTAGATTCATGTCAAAACTAGGAAAAATAATATAGATTAATTTTTGAGAAAAATCGAGCATATACGTAAGGATACACTTGAGGTAAAACACCTTGAGTAGAAAAATGGTTATCATCTCTTTAAAAAAAAAAAAAAACTTCAATTTTCATTTCCAAAAAACTTATGTAAAAGTAGTAAAATCTATTTTTTTTTATTAATGATTTTAAAATTGATATTTTTTTTTAATGAAGCAAAGCATTCCTAACCTTTATTCTTTGGATATCATTTACATGGTTTAAAAATCATATTAGATAATAATTGTGCTATTTATTCAAGTT